ATTATAAATATTTTTTCTTTTTTTTATCCTTAAAACAATGTTATATGTAAAGCTGCAAAATAAAATTAGAATAAAACAATAAAATAATAATTGCCCTATGGATTTTAGGGACTATGAAAGGATAGATAACTTTCTTTTTAGTTAAAAAATTTAAAATTATTTATTATTATTTAATGTTTTGATTTTATGTGTATGTTTTGCTTGCCTGTATTCTTATTTTGTGTGAATGTATTTGCTTGCTGCCACAGAGGTACTGGGAATCAAACTCAGGTCTAAACCTGCAGAACTAACCCTGCAACACCTTCATCCTCTAGCCTCGAGAACCAGAAGACAGATTTCTCCTTTTTGAGCCCTGCAGTCTATGCTCCCTTACAGGTACTCAAGGAAGCTAATAGGATTAAACTTCAGATGTGCTTGAAACTCTCCATTCTTTGTATTTCCTCCCTTTTAAAAGAGATGCATTTAGGGGTTGGAGAGATGGCTCAGTGGTACATGCACATAGTGGTTAACAACCATCCATAACTCCAATTCCAGGGGAGTCAACGCCCTCTTCTGACCTCCACAGGCATTACATGAAATGGGTGCACTTATACACATGCAGGCAATACACTCATGCACATAAAATAAAAATAATAAATAAAATATTAAAAAATAAGAGATGCATTTATTTTTATTGTGTGTGTGCCTGCTTGTATGTGCACCGTGTACGCACAGGTGCCCTCAGAGTCCAGAATAGGGTGTCAGAGCTTGTGGAGCTGGAGTCACAGGCAGTTGTGAGCTTCCCAGTGTGGAGGATAGATAGAAACCAAATCCAGGTTCTCTGCAAGAGCAGCAAATGCTCTTAACGCTTGAACTATCCCACAAGCCCCTTCCTCTCTCTTTCTTCTCTAGAAGTTGTATTCTTTGGGACTATGAATTATACAGAGGTTAGTTCAATGATCTATTGAGGGGCCAGTGTGTGCCAGTAATCCTGTGCTGAGGGTGAAAAACAAGAAGTCACTTCTACTTACTACCCAAAAGGCCTTTACGGAATATTACAATGACAGATGAGTAAACATAATTTAAATCCAATGTATAAAATGCTGTGACTCAATATCTGTAAGACATTTTGGCAACATAGAAAAAGAAGAAGGTCATTCTGAGGATTCAGAGATATTTTCTGAAATAGATAATATCTCAGCTGCATTGTTTTGAAAAAAATTTTTTTGGTCTTTTTGAGACAGGGTCTCCCTGTAGCCCCAGCTGTCCTGGAACTCACTATGTAGACCAGGCTGGCCTTGAACTCACAGAGATCCGCCTGCCTCTGCTTGCCGAGTGCTGGGATTAAAGGTGTGCGCCACCATACCGGCTTGTTTTTAAATTTTTCATTACATTTAGTCATATATTTATTGGGGGGGGCGGTTGTGGAATTCAGAGGATAACTTGAGAGTGTCAGTTCTCTCCTTCCACCATGTAAGACCCAGGGATTGAACCCAGGTTATAAGGCTTAGCAGCAAGAACTTTATTCACTGAACCATCTTGCTGGCTCTAGTTTTTTTTTTTTTAATTTATGTTTTATTTTATTCATGGAGGCATTAAGACAGGCACAACAGTTAGAAGCCAAGACTCATTCTATTTAGACAAATCCAGCATGAAAGATGGATTCCAAAGTAAAGAGGATGGGGCCAGCAAGATGGCTCAGCAGGTAAAAAAGCTTGCCATGGAAGCCTAGAGACTTGAGTTTGATCCCTGGAACCCACATTTGCACATCTCCCCACTTTCACACACCATGCACTCTCTCACATACAATAATAATAATAATAATAATAATAATAATAATAAATAAAGTAAGATGAGAAGAGTCAAGAGGATCAGTTACAAGGCTGGAACAGAAGTCCAGGTGAGAGTTTTCTGAACTAGAGAGGAGAATGGGAAAGGGGAAAACTCAAGGACACCTACGAAGAGAACTTGGGTTTACTTGCCACTTGGTTGACCTGGAAAGGTCGAGGTTGTTTCTTAGGTGACTGTGTGGTGGGATGTGATTTACCAAGATGGGAAATTCTGGAGGAACAGTATGGTGGAGGGAGAACGCACTGACTGGAGAAGCTAAGATGCCAGTGAGTGGCTCTGACCAGGTAAGTCTGAAGTTCTGGGCTGATGCTACTGAAGTCATCTGCTGATTGGCCATGGCTAAAGCCTTAAGAATGGAATGACGTGGACAAACGTGGAAGTATAAGATGGAATCCTGGGCAGGAGGGAACACCAAGATTTAGGGACTAAGCGAAAGAACAGGTGCTTATGCAGGATGTGGTGGCGCAAGCCTTTAATCTCAGTACTTGAGAGGCAGAGGCAGGAGGACCTCTGTGAGATTGAGGTCAGCCTGGTCTACACAGAGAGTTTCCAGACAAGTGGTGCTACAGGGAGACTCTCTCAAGAAAATAAAAAAAAGAACAAAACCAAAAAAGAAATAACTAGGAAAATGAAGCGGTGAGTAGCAGTATAGCCAGTAAACCTAGCACCTGGGAGGGAGAGGCAGGAGGGGTCGCTGCACGTTCAAGCCAGCCTGGAATACATTGCAAGACCCTGTCTCCAAACACCAATCAATCAATAGACACAACAAGAAAATTATTATAGAAGACAAACCATGAAAACAGGTGAAGAAGGCAGGACAAAAAGTGAGAAGTGAGGTGTGAGTACTCTCAATGACTCTCTGTACGTAGTTATAAGTGTTTATCACAGTCAACTTCACAGTCATGTACTCCAAATCCTGACTTAATCAAATTGGCCATACCTGTTTTTCACAAGCCAGTAGTCTTTCCCATCAAGGTTTCCATAGCCAACCACTAGTACACCATGGTTCACATTCTGTGTGCAGGTGGGGTCATCGTAAACACCTGAGAATAAAACACGGGTGAGAGAAAGAGGTGGGTGCAGCAGGACCACAGAAGAGACTTCAAAATTCCATTCCTTTCTATTAGGCTGTCTTGGAGATAGGGCAAAGTTAATTAAAATTTTAGGGACATACACACATGCCTGTGTTTAAATGATTTAGACTTTGTAATTCTTTGACACTGATCCTATATTTGTCACTTTTCTTACCAAGTTTGGGAACAATCCCTAGTTCCCTCAATCCATAGTAGTAGTTATATCTACTCACATTTTTATAATTATCTGACTCTATATACAAATGAATTGTATTTCTTTGTATACATTAAAAATTTTGTTTTGAGTCTTTTCTAAATTAAATGTTTCTTAATATATTATAGCTTTCTACTTTATATAGTACAGTGCTCTAGATTTAGAGGGTATTTAGAACTATGTTATTCATCTTTGTATAATTGTGTATATGTGTTTAAAATTATTTATCTTTATTTTTAATATTTTATTTAGTTAAATTTATGTTTATGTGTATATTGCCTGTGTGTAGGTAAATGCACCCATGTCATGCAATGCCCATGGAGGTCAGAAGAGGCTGTCAGATCCCCTGGCACTGGAGTTATGGACAGTTGTTAGCTGCCATGGGGTGCTGGGATTTGAACCTGGGTCTTCTGCAGGAACAACCATTATTCTTAACCACTGAGCCATCTCTCCAGCCCTGAAACTGATTTTTTAAGCTGTTTGTTTTTGAGGCAGAGCCTCACTATGTAGCCCAGGCTGACCTCAAGTTTCTTCCTGAATGCTAGGATTACAGGCATGCTTACCAAGCTCAGCAGCAACTGAGTTTTTGTATATTGGTTATGTGGCCTGCAACTTTGCTAAACTAATTTCTTGTTCTTTTTTAACATTTTATTTATTTTTATTTTATGTGTATGACTGTATTGCTTGCATGTGTGTAAGTGCACATATGTGTGCAATGTCTGAGGCGGTCAGAAGAGGGTGTCAGATTCCCTGGAACTGGAGTTACAGATGATTGTTAGCCACCATGTGGGTGCTGAGAATTGAACCCTGGTCCTCTGCAAGAGCAGCCAGTGCTCTTAACCGCTGAGGATAGTGCATCTGTTTTTACCACTTCTGTAGAGGAAGAAGGAGGGACGGCTGGCATCTATGCCCACAGACACAGGTCCTTTATTGGCCACAGCTTCTTTCAGAGCATCTTCACTGCCATAGGGAAGCTCGGTGTACCTTGAACACGTGGCAGCACGATTTTTTGAGTCGTAATGACATTTTTCATCCTGTAAAAAAACAAGTATAAAGTCTACTGTAGTTTCCTTTATAAATTAGCAATTCCCTAAATCTGGATTTCAAATCTGATTTTCCCCTTTTCTGTAACTTTTTCAAGTATCTAAGACTCTCTCTCTCTCTCTCTCGGTTTTTTTTTTGGATTTTTTTTAAAGAGTCTCAAGCTGGGGATGGTGATGCATGCTTGTAATCCAAACACTAGGCCAGCCAGAGGTATCTGAGACCCTGTCTCAAACACACAAGAGTGAGAGGAAGTGGGGTTCTCTGTAGCTCAAGCTAACCTTGAACTCAAATTAATCATCTGCCTCCAGCCTCGTAAGTGTTGAGATTACAGGCATCAGCCACCTTGCTCAGGATTGGAGAGATGACTCATGAGTTAAGATTACTGGCTGCTCTTATAGAAAACCTGGGCTTGCTTCCCAGCACACACATGGTGACTGACAACTGCCATTAACTCCAGTTCCAGGGACTCCAATGTCCTCTTCTGGCCTCCATGGGCATTGAATGCACTGGTGCACTTACATGCAAGCAAAACACTCATATCCCTAAACTTTAAAAATTATAAAAAGAAAAAATCAAACTGTCCAAGTCCCAACACTTTCAGGTTTTATAAGCAACAGAGGAAAGATGAGCCTGATAACAGACATGCAATCCTAGCACTTGGAAGGCAGAGGTAAGGAGGATTCCAAGTTTGGGGTCAGCTTTGGCTACATATTGAGAACCTGTCTCAAAAGACTAAGGGCTTGGCATACAGCTCAGCCGTAAAACACTTATCTAGCATATGCAAGATCCTGGGTTCAATACCCAGCATCAAAGAGAAAACAACATCTTATTGTTCTTAAGTTGTGAGTATCTTCATCCACACAAAATGTGCCAGGACATTGTCTCCTCAGATTGTGAAGTATATTTTAGGGTAATATTCTATCATAAACTCTAAAACTTCAAAATCTTTTTGATAATGTAATGCCTGCAAGATGGTCTACAGTTAATATAATAAGGAAACTACTTATTAGTGCACTTCAGGTGGGAAAAAAATCACTTAGAAAAAGGGATTTAGGGGCTAGAAAGCTGGCTCAGCAGTTAGGAGAACTGGCTGTTCTTGCAGAGGACCAGTGTTCAGTTCCCAGCATACAGTGGGAGCTAATAACCATCTACAACTCCAGTACCAGAAGATCCTAAGCTGTCTTCTGGCCCCTACAGGCACTGCATGCATGGGTGTACTTGCATGCATGCAGGTAAAACACTCATACCCATAAAATAAAAAATAAAATAAAATAAAAACTAAGGAAAAAAAAAAGGTTGGGTGTGGTGGTACATACCTTTAGTCCCAGCACTCAGGAGGCAAAGGCAGGTAGATCTCTCTGAGTTCTAGGCCAGCCTAGTTGACATAGTAAGTTGTAGGCCAGCCAGAGCTACATAGTAAGACCCTGTTTCAACAATTCAAAAATAAAAAACAAAAACAAAAAAAACCCAACACACACACACACACTCACGAAACCACCACCACCAAAAAAAAAAAAAAAAAAAAAAAAACAAACAAACAAAAAAATGCACCAAAAAGGGGAGAAGCTGGGATTGTGTGGCACTAGCCTTTAAACACAGCACTCAGGAGGCAAAAGCAGATGGATCTCTGTGAGTTTGAGGCCAGCCTGGTCTACATAGCAAGTCCCAGGACAGTTAGGGCTACATAGGGAGACATAAAAAAAATTGTGGTCCAGCAAGATGACTCAGCAGGTGAAGGCTCCTGCTGCCGAGCCTGACAATCTGAGTTCAATTCCTGTGAACCACGTGGGGAAGGAAACAACCAACTCCTGCAAGTTGTCCTCTGATGTCCTTACATATGCCAAGGCACCAGCATGCAACACCCAAAAAGAAATAAAAATAAAATTTAAAAAAAGAGAATTTGCTGGTGGGAGAGGGGTTCTGTAAACTGAAGTTTTTCTCTTTTTCTTATGTTTAAAACTATATCAAAGCTGGGCATGGTAGCACATGCCTTTAATTCCAGCACTTTGGAGGCTGAAGCAGGTGGATCTCTGTGAGATCCAGGCCAGCCTGGTCTTTATAGTGAGTTCCAGGCCAGCTGGGGATTCACAATAACCCTGCTTCAAAAAGACAAAACAAAACAAAAAAAAAAAAAAAAAACACAACTCCCCCCCGCAAAACAACAAAAACCTATATCTAATAATTCTATTATAGTGTTACTTAATATGTAAGTTATATTTCTGTACATAAAAACATTTAAAATTTTTATTTATTTTTGTTTTATGTGTATGATTGTCTTGCCTGCATGTATGTAAGTGAACCCGAGCATGCAATGTCTGTGAAAGTCAAAAGACGCCATAAGATGCCCTGGAACTGGAGTTAAGGATGGTTGTTAGATGTCATGTGGGTTCTGGAAACTAAATGGGTATCCTCTGCAAGAGCAGCCAGTGTTCTTAACTGCTGAACCATCTCTCTAGCCCCAAATAAAGTTCTGGGGTTTTTTGTTTTTGTTTTTGAGACAGGGTCTCCCTATAGGCCCTGCTGGCCTGGAACTCACTATGTAGAACAAGCCGGCCTCAATCTCAGAGAGATTGGCCTGCAACTGCCTCCTGAGTGCTGGGATTAAAAGTGAATTTGCCACCAAGCCCAACTAAAGTAAAGTTGGGTTGTTTTTTTTTTTGTCTTTTTTGAGACAGGGTCTCCTTGTAGCCCCAGCTGTCCTGGAACTCACTATGTAGACCAGGCTGGCCTCAAACTCACAAAGATCTGCCTCTGCCTCCCAAGTGCTGGGATTAAAGGTGTATTTTTAAAGGAGGTTACAAATTTATATTTGTTGAATATAAAAATATGATTTTTAACTTCATAATAAGAAAAGAGGTTGAACCAAAACAATAGTGGTTATGGCAGGGAGTTTTGAGCAGAAAGCTTTTTTTTTTTTTTTTTTCCGGTCTTTTTGAGACAGGGTCTCCCTGTGGCCCCAGCTGTCCTGGAACTCACTATGTAGACCAGGCTGGCCTTGAACTCACAGAGATCCGCCTGCTTCTGCCTCCCGAGTGCTGGGATTAAAGCCATGCGCCACCACACCCAGCTAAGCAGAAAGTTTTAAAAAATTCATTATTATTACATTTCTTTATGTGTATGTGGAGGTCAGAGGACAACTTGAGGGAATCAGTTCTTTCCTTCCACCACTTGGGTTCTGGGAGTTGAACTCAGGTTGTCAGGCCAGAGACAGGCAGATCTCTGTGAGACTGAGGCCAACTGGGTCTAGATAGTGAGTTCCAGGTCAGTTGGGGATACAGGGGGACCCTGCCTAAACAAACAAACAAACCAAGAAGAGAACTCATGAGACCTAGAGAGCTCTTGGAGCTTCTCTCTCATATGCATGAAGACACATGCATGAACACAGCTCTCAGCTCAAGCAGCTGTGTTGGTGGTCAGTGCAGTTAGGGAATGAGGTCACTGGAAGTATAAAGAGTTTGCTCATGACTCACCTTGGCTTTGTAGGGATAAGAAGCTTCTGATTCAATGCCACTGTTATCAATGATGTATTGGAAAGCCTCGGTCATGAAGCCCCCATTACAGCCTTTGTTCCTGTATTTTTCAGTCGCACAGTCCACCAGGTTCTGTGCACTGAGGGACACCAGCTTTCCTGTTTTTAGCTTTACCTGTGCTTCTAGGGCACCCACGGCACTGAAAGCCCAGCAGGCACCACAAGAGCCCTAAAACAGAAAAGGACACAAGGCAGTCTCAGAAAACCTCTAAGGTTGGTTTCTGTCACACAAGTAGGACAACTACCATTTCTCAGTAGTTCCCAGGAAGGGCTCAGAGCTCTCCACCATGGCTTCCTTCTCCTTAGACAGTGGGAGTGAAGACTAACTGTTCTCTAGGCAGGGTACAAGCCTGGTGAGGATTTGCAAATGGCTGAATTTGGAGCACAGTAGGAATTTCAAATATATTGATAGTTTTCACTGAACATGTGCCAAATCCTACCTATCTTCACCTACAGGGAGACAAAAAGTGATTACAGAGGTGATAGAATGGCTTTAGTCCAGCTGACAGGGGACCGGAGGGACAGACAGCGGCACTTCCAATTTCCATGGTCAAAGGGCTCACTGTATTTTATATTGTAGAAAGGAACCTACCCTGTACACATTGTAATCAGTGCAGCCCTGACACACTGCTTCTGGTCTGTTTTTCAGAGTCACCCTCTAGCCAGGTGATGCCACAGGAGGAATGCAAGGCTCTATGGCCTTTGGGAACACACAAACCCAACTACCCAGAGAGAGATACACACGCAATGAGAAAGCTCAGGAGAGGACAAGGAGTCAAGCACAACATGAATCACAGACAAGGCTGACCTCCTGACCAGAGAGCCAAGACTCAACTTTGGAGTAACTGACTGCTTTTGTTTCCATACCCTTGAAAGCCTGCTGCCTAGAGATGAGCTGTAAGACAGATTTCTAGAATGTTCATCTGCTGCCTTCTCAGTTCACCACCTTTCAGAATAATGTACAGTTTAAAGATTCAATTCCTGTCTCTGCTCTATCCCACAAGATGCCTAAGCATAAGAGCTTTAATCGTAGCTAACTGTTCTCTGACATTATCACCCTTAAAATTGAAAGATGATTCATTTTTATTATTTATTTATGTGTGTGTTTGTGCCAAAAGAAGGTACTGGATTCAAAGGAGCTGGAGTTATAGGAAATTGTGAGCTGCCCAATGTGGGTGCTGGGAATTGAACTCAGGTCCTCTGGAAGAGCAAGCAGCAAGTGTTCTCAACCCCTGAGCCAACTCTCCAAACCCATCCTTAGAATTTTTTGATCAGAAAATATTTTGTAGGCTGAGCATGCCAATCATACATCTGATAAGGAGCTAAATATCCAAAATATGAGGGGAACATAGTTTGGTTATGTATGCTGTGAGTTGGAGGCCAGCCTGGGCTACATATATAAACCAAAAAAAAAAAAAAAAGAAGGAAAAGAAAAAGAAAATGTACAATTTAGTTGGGAAGACAGAAATGACAAAAACAGCTAGAAAGTAATGTAAGAGACAATAAAATTCACTATCAAAGTATGGGGCTAGACACAGGAAGAGAGCACTTGACGGAGGGTGCAGAGGCCTGGGATGGTAACACTCACCTGGGCTTTCACTTCAGTGACACAGCCCTTCTCTCGCCAGTCCATAGAATCAGGCAAATTCTGATTAGGGTATGACTTGTAAGTGACATTTCTCTGCCACTGGCTGGGAACCCTGAGAGAGCTCATTAAAGACATTACTTCTTCACTGGTCTATAAGGCAAATAAATAAACCACTTCATTTATACACTTTAAATTTTTTTATTACATCTATTTGTTTGTAATGGGGGTGTGGTGGTACATGCCTTTAATGCCAGCCCTTGGGAAGTAGAGGCAGGAGGATCTCTGTGAGACTGAGATCATCCTGGTCTACATAGTTCCAGGTGGGCTGGGACCAGAGAGACCCTGTCAAAAAAAAGTGTGTGTGTGTGGTGTATGCATGGGTGTATGGACTCTCCTGTGTGCTTCTGCATGTGGTGGCCAGAGGCCTACTTTTATTGTCTTTTTCCATCACTCTCCACCTTATTTTTCAAGAAAGAGTCTCTCACTGAATCCACACCGCTTTCACTATACTGGCCATTGAGCCCCCAGGGTTATTCCTGTCTCCACACCCTGGTGCAGCAAGTGCTTTACCAACTGAACCATCTCCCGGCCCTGGTTTTTTACTTTATTTTTAAGGTACTGTGACTCTTATTTGATTTTACTTTATTTATTTATTTTATTTATGTGTATGAGTGTTTTGCCTGCATGTATGCAAATGCACCATGTACATGCAATGCCCACAGAGGTCAGACGAGGCCATCATATCCCCTGAAACTGAAGATAAGGATGTTGTGAGCTGCCACGTAGGTGCTAGGAACTGAACCTGGGTACTCTCCAAGAGCAGCAGCAAGTGCTCTTGACTGCTGAGCCATCTCTCCAGCCCAGAGTATTGTGATTCTTCATTTTGGCTGCACTATAAAGTTTTGTGTCATAGAACAGAATGTAAAAACTGATGAGGAAGTTGGAGGTGCAACTGACTTGAGCCTACTTAAATACAGACCCTGAGTTTGATCTCCAGCACAAAAAACATGATTATGATACCAAGTTCCCATGTGCCCCAGTAAGAAAGCAGTTGGACCATATTAAATTGTCAATTTAGACTGAGATAAATATAGCAACTTTCTCCGGGCGTGGTGGTGCAGGCCTTTAATCCCAGCACTTGGGAGGCAGAGACAAAAAAAAAAGCAACTTTCTACAAAGACTTAGACAATGCTTTCTAGAATTCATTAACAATAAGAGCAATAGTATTGAGTGATTTTTAAACTTTCCTGTAAAGAAGGCATTTTTAGGCTGGTGTGGGGGCACAGCCCTGTGATTTCAGTACTCTGGAGGTAGAGGCAGGCAGAGCAGGGGATCCAGGTCATCCTCAGCACCATAGAGAGTTCGAGACCAGCTGGAGCAACATGAGATCCTGTTAAAAAAGGAAAGAGAAGAGACAGGATTTTTTTTTTTTTTTCAAAGAAACTGGTCACACAAAATCCCAGCCTAGACATAGGGAAACGTTAAGAAATCCTAACCCAACCTAAGGAGCTTTTGGCAATTGATGGCTGGTGGGATATGAGACAGTGTCTTACAGGGATAGGGCTCTTGGTGGGCCCGTGGATGGACCCACACTGAAGGACATTTGGGGACACAACTACACTTGAATGTATTTATACTTCCAATCCAGTAAGGTTTTTCTTTGAATCTGCTCTGTTTTCAAGTAGTGTTATTAAGTGCATGAACATTAAACCTTACTGAAGAATTAACCTATTCATTAGGATGTAATGATCTTTTTAGTACTGGTTAATATTCCATGTTAATAACCTCTAATAATTACTATAGCTGATCTGGCTTTTATTTGATTAATTGCCACCGTCTTCAACAGCAGGCAAGTACTTTATAAAATGTAAATTATTCAGATTTTTTAAGAGTCTGAGGAGGTTCCTTTCTTTTAAAATAATATTTTAGAATTCTAGAGTGATTTTTTTTCATTTAGAACTTTAAAATTATTGTTTCACTGTGCTCTGGCTTATTATGTTTCTTTTCTAACCTGTAAGATACAGGTTGGGGAGATGGCTTAATGGGTAAAGTGCTTGCTGTGCAAGCATGATGACTTGAGTTTGGATCCCCAGAACCCACATAAAAACAAAAAAAAAGACTGTGTGGTGGAGTGCACCTACAACACTGGTGCTAGAGAGGTAAGAACAGAAGTTCCTGTGGGTATTTGGCCAACCAGTCTAGCTAGTCTAGTCAATTCTTGAGCTCCAGGTTCAGTAAGAGACCCTGCCTTAAAAAAATAATGTGGAGGGGCCAGAGAGCTGGTTCAGCAGTTAAGAACACTGGTTATTCTTACAGGACACCCAGTTTGAATCCCAGCACCCATATGGCAACTAACAACCATCCATAAATCCAGTTCCAGGGGATTCGATGCCCTCTTCTGTCCTCCACATGGGTGCACTTGCATACATGCAGACAATAAACACACATAAAATTTTTTAAAAATCAAAAACATTTTTTTAAAAATGTGGTGAGTGACAGAGGCAGACACCTGATGTTGACCTCTGGCCTCCACATGCACAGAGGCTGTGCATCCATGTGTTTATACATAATACATCAAATAAATAAATAAATAAATAAATAAATAAATAAATAAATAATAAGCAAATAAATAAAATGACTTTTCCTCTTCAGCCTGCTTTAAGAATTTATCCTTGGAGCTGGAGAGCTGGCTCAGTGGTTAAGAGCACTGGCTGATCTTGCAGAAAATTGGAGTTCAAATCTCACCACATGGTAGTTAACAGTTGTCCATAACTCCAGTTCCAGGGTATCTAATGCTCTCTTCTATCCTCTGTGGGCACTGTATGACATGGGTGCACTTACATACATACAGGCAATGCACTCATACACTTAAAAAAATTAAAAATAAATAATTTTTTTTAAAAAAAGAAAAAGAAGCTGGGCATGGTGGCCAATGCCTTTAATCCTAGCACTTGGGAGGCAGAGGTAGGTGGACCTCTGTGAGTTCAAAGCCAGCCTGGTCTACATAGTGAGTTCCAGGACAGCTGGGGCTACAGGGAGACTGTCTCAAAAAGACCAACAAAAAGAAAAAAAGAAGGAATTTATCTTTATCATTGGATCTTGGTAATTTTGTTTTGTTGTCCTTTGTGTGGTTTGCTGTATGTTCTCTGGGCTTGGAATTCACTCAGTATCTTGAACCTGTGAGTTGGTTTTTTTAAATTAGCTGGGGAAATTTTTCAGCCATTATTTCCTCTATTTCTGTCATTCATTTTCTTTCCTTCTAGGATTCCAAAGAAAAACATCCAAGAGGGCCAGCAAGATGGCTCAGCAGTTAAGAGTGCTTGCCTCCAAGCCTAGCTGAGTTTGATCCTCAGAACCCAAATGGCAGAGAGAAAGAAACAAATCCTGGGAATTATCCTCTGACTTCCATATGTGCAATGTGGCACCTATGCCCCTCACTACACAATAAACAAACAAACAAACAAATAAATAAATAATAAATAGCCAGGCGTGGTGGCACATGCTTGTTGTCCCAGCACTTGGGAGGCAGAGGCAGGCGGATCTCTGTGAGTTCAGGGCCAGCCTTAAATAAATAAATAAATAAATAAATAAATAAATAAATAAATAGTTTTGTTAAAAAACAGAAAGAAAAAACTAGTCAGAGTAGGGCTAAATAATTTTTTCACTTGTTTAACTACTTTGTGCATATGTATGTGGGCACTCATGTGCCATAGCACATGTGGAAGTCAGAAGACAGCTTGAGGGAGTCAGTTCTCTCCTTCAATCACAATGGACCCAAGGATCAAACTCAGGTTGTCAGGCTTGGCAGCAAGTACCTTTACCCCCTGAGCCACCTCGTTGGCCTCCTTTTTTTCTTTTTCTTTTTCTTTTTTGGTCTTTTTGAGACAGGGTTTCCCTGTAGCCCCAGCTATCCTGGAACTCATTATGTAGACCAGGATGGCCTTGAACTCACAGAGATCCGCCTGCCTCTGCCTCCCAAGTGCTGGGACTACAGGCCTGCACCACCACACCCAGCTTGGCCCCCTTTTTTTCTAAATAAGAAATATCTGATCTCCACACTTTCATGACTATCCCAGATTACTCTGCTCCTGCTCCTGAGCAGTCAGATGAGTTATCCAGAACACAGTCCACTCCACAGTCATCTACACTCACAGACCTAGCTGAGATTGCCCACCTTGCACACTGGACCAGCCTGGAATCACCCTGTTCCTCAAAAAAAAAAAAAAATCCACAGTGAGAATCTGAAGCATATACCAATTATTATTCATACCTGATCTGAAATCAACTAAGCTATGAAAACAACAAAAACAGAACCAAATGTGCATTCAACAAAGGGAGTCTAGAATTTTGTATCAGATACACAACCAACAAAAGTCTCTATACTCAGAAAAAACATAAACAATAATGAAAAATAAAGATAATATGTCTCCACTAAATCCCACTAGTCCTATAGAAATGTTCTATACTGAAACTGCCGAGGGGAATTCCAGGACACAGAACTTAAAACACCATAAACATCAAAGAAATAAGGACCTTAAAGAATATACAAATAAATACCTCACACTCAAAGAGGATAGGAGAAACCCCTGAGTGAAGCTCAAGAAAATACAAGGAGGGGCTGGAGAGGTATCTCAGCAGTAAAAAGCACTTGCTATTCTTGCAGAGGACCTGAGTTCCATTCCTAGCACCCACATGGAGCTGCTCACAACCACCTGTGTCTCTAGCTCCAGTGGATCCAATGCCCTCTTCTGGTCTGTGCAGGGACCAACATATATGGACACACGTAAATAAATAAATAAAATAAATGTATACATTTTTTTTTTGGTTTTTTGAGACAGGGTCTCCCTGTAGCCCCAGCTGGCCTGAAACTTGACCAGGATGGCCTCGATCTCACAGAGATCCACCTGCCTCTGCCTCCTAAGTGCTGGGATTAAAGGCATAGACCACCATGTCCAGCCCAAAATAAATATTTTTATATAAATATGGGCTGGAGAGATGGCTCAGTAGTTAAGAGCACGGGCTGCTCTTTTAGAGCATCTGGGTTCGATTCCCGAAACCCACATAGCAGCTAAAATCTGTCCTTAACTCCATTTTCAAGGGAATCTGATGTACTCTTCTGACCTTCGTGAATATTGCATGACACGGGTGCACAGGTACACTTACATACACATAAAATAATAAAAATATTTTTCAAAAAATACATCTGAATGAAATGACAAAGACAATTCAAACTGGAAAAGTGAATTCAGGAAAGAGAAAAATATATTGAAAAAACTGCAAACTGAGATAACAATAGAATTGAAAAATGCAATAAACCAATTAGAAAAGTCAGAGGAAAGTCTTGCCAGCAGAATGAATCAAGTAGAAAACAGAATATCAGGACTTGAAGATAAAGTCAGGGAATTGGACCATTCAAGCAAAGAATTTGAAAAAAAATTAAACACAGGAAAGGAATATGTAGGAGCATATCAAATCAACAAATGATAGGAACAGAAGAAAGAGAAGAATCCCAAGTCAGTGACATAGACCAGATCTTTAACAAGATTATAGAAGAAAACATCCCTAAATTAAAGAAAGACACCCATACAAATACAAGAAGCACACCAAAGAGGACCAGAAAAAAACTCTGCATGGCATATCATAGCAAAACCATTAAATATGTAAATATACAGAACAAAGAGGAAATTGAAAGCTGCAAGAGAAAAATCAAGAAGTTACATACAAAGGAAAACCTATTAGAAGAGCAGCTGATTTTTTTTTTTTGAGACAGGCTCTCATTATGTAGTCCTGGTTGTCCTGGAACTCATTATGTAGACTAGGCTGGCCTCTAACTCAGAGATATATGACTTATCCAAAGTGTTTGGATTAAAAGGGGCATCATCATGCTCAGCAAAAGATTCAATGGAAACTAAAAGCCAGAAGAACCTGGAGCAATGTACTCCAAGTTCTAAATGACCAAAGATGCCAACCCAGACTATTTTACCCAGCAAAACTATCTGCCATAATTGAAGGAGAAAGAAAACCCTTCCATGGTATAAACAGGAGGAAAGAATTCATGTCTACTAAACCAACCCTACAGAGAATACTGGAAGCAATACTACCGACTGCGGAACAGAATAAGCACAGCCAAAAGGCTACGAAAAGAGAGCAAATGAAGCCATAATTATGAAAACACAAACTAGGACTAAGATCACAAACAGAAAATAAAAGAACACTAACCAACACACATCTTCAATAATACTTGAAATATCAATATGGCCTCAACTCCTCAATCAAAAGACACAGAGTAGTTGAATGGATTAAGAAACAAAATCTGGGCAGGGCATGGTGGTCCATACCTTTAATCCAGCACTTGGGGAGGCAGAGGCAGGCAGATTGCTGTGAGATGGAAGCCAGCCTGGGATGATCTATATAGCAAGTTCCAGACCAGATGGACCCTGTCTCAAAAAAAAAAAAAAAAAACCACCATCTTTTTGTTGTCTATAAGAAGCTCTTACCTTAAAGGACAGGTACCACCTTAGATTGAAAAGATAAAAAAAAATATTCCAAGCAAATGGGACCAAGAAACAAGCAGGTGTTGCTATTCTAATATCTGATAAAATAGACTTTGAACTAAAATTAATAGGAAGAGATAAAGGACGATACTGCATTCTGATTAAAGGAATAATCAACCAAGAAGACATTATAATCATAAACATATGCGTACCAAACTCTGGCACACAAAATTTCATAAAAAGAGTACCATTAGACTTCAAGACACAGATTAGCCTTAACTCAATAATAGCAGGTGACTTCAGTACCTGACTTTCTCCAATGGACAGGTCATCTGGACAAAGAATAAATAGAAACATCAGAATTAAAAGATTTCATACATCAAATGGCCCTAGCAGGCATCTACAGGATATTCCACCCAAGCACCAAAGAACACACATTTTACCTAGCAGTCCATGGAAGTTTCTCTAAAATAGACCACACACTTGGATACAAAACAAATCTCAACAAATACAGAAAAATTGAAATAATTCCATGTGCGATAAAGCTTAAAATCAACAGCAAAAAAATCTCACAAACTTTCAAGAACTCATGTAGATTAAACAACACTCTCCTGAATGAGGAATAGGTCAAAGAAGAAATCAAGAAAGAAATAAAAGTATTTCTAGAATTAAATGAAAATTAAAACATAACACAAAACCTCTGGGACACACTAAAAGCAGTCCTAAGAGGGAAACTTATAGCTCTAAACTCCTACATTAAAAAAAAAAAAAAAGCAAAAGTGCATGAATAAATGACTTAATGATACAACTCAAGAATCTGGAAAAACAAGAACAAACCAAACCCAAACCCAGAAGATGAGAAGAAATAATAAAAATCAGAGAAGAAACCAATGAGATAGAAACAAAGAAACCAGTGCAAAGCATCAATGAATCCAGGAGCTGGTTCTCTGAAAAGACAAACAGATCAATAGACCTTTAGCCTAACTAATCAAAAGAAAGAGCAGATCAAACTCAACAAAATCAGAGATGAACAGGGAAACATTACAACAGACACCAAAGAAATCCAGAACATTATAAGGGAATACTTTAAAAACCTATACTCCAGTTGCGGGGCATGGTGGCGCACGCCTTTAACCCCAACACTTGGGAGGCAGAGGCAAGCAGATCTTTGTGAGTTTGAGGCCAGCCTGGTCTACATAGTGAGTTCCAGGAAAGCTGGGGCTAGAGGGAGACCCTGTCTCAAAAAGACACACACACAAAAACCTGTACGCCATTAAATTAGGAAATCTAAAAGAGGGCCAGGCATGGTAGCACACACCTTTAATCCCAGCGTTCCAGGCCAACTGGGGCCACAGGGAGACCCTGTCTCAAAAAGACCCCCCCCCAAAAAAACCCACAAAAAATCTAGGAATAAACTTAACTAAAGACATGGAAGAACTTACAATGAAAACTTTAAGTTATTGAAGGGAGAGATTAAGGAAGACACTAGAAAATGGGAAGATTTGTCATGCTCATCGATCGGTACAATTAAGATTGTGAAAATGACCATCCTATTAAAAGTAATTTACAGATTCAGTGCAATCTCAATTAAAATCCCCATGACATTCTTCATGGAAATAGAAAAAAATCCTAAAATTCATATGGAAGCACCAAAGACCCTGGATAACCAAAGCAATCCTGAGCACAAAGGACAATGCTGGAGACGGTATCATACCAGATTTCAAACTATATTCCGAGCTGTAGTAGTAAAGCTAGCATGAGAGGAGCACAAAGGCAGAAATGTAGATCAATGAAACAAAATAGAAGACCCAAACACAAGTCCACGCAATTATGGTCATCTGATGTTTGACAAGGCACCAAAAATACACACTGGAGGTAAGACAACATCTTCAACAAATGGTGCTGGGAAAACTAGATGTCCCTATCACGCTGCATAAAAATAAACTCCAAATGGATCAAAGACCTCAGTGTGGAACCTGAAACTCTGAAACTGTTAGAAGAAAACATAAGCAGTACCCTACAAGATATAGGTTCAGGAAAGGACTTGCTAAATCAGACTCCACGTACTCATGAATCAAGACCAACATTTGAAAATTGGGACCTCTTAAACTAAAAAGCTTCTGTATAAGCAAAGGAAACAACCTAGTGAAGAGAAGCCCACAAATTGGGAGAGAGTCTTTGCCAGCTACAAATATGATAGAGGATTAACTCCCAGAATATTCAAAATACTTAAAAAACAAAGAATCAAGAAAGCAAGTGACCCTATTCAAAAAATGGGCTATAGATCTAAGCAGGGAGTTCTTAAAAGAAGAAATAAAAACAGCTAAGAAGGTGCTAGAGAGATGGCTCAGAGGATATGAGTTTAGTTCCCAGCACCCACATGGTGGCTAACAGGTGTCTGAAACTCCAGTTCCAGAGGATCTGATGCCCTCTTCTGTCTTCTGCAGGTATTAATAGTGGGTAGCAGGTGTGTGAAACTCCAGTTCGAGAGGATGTCATGCCCTCTTCTGTCTTCTGCGTGTATTACACACCCAGGGACACACACACACACACACACACACACACACACACACACAGGCAAAACACTCATATACATTAAAAAAAAAGATAGCCCAACAGATGAAGACCTCAGTAACCTTGTGGGTTGTGGGTAGGAGCATAGCTGAAAAAAAATGACTAAGAAATACCTTAAGTGTTTAAAATCCTTAGTAATAAAGAAAATGCAAATTAAAACCACTTTAAGATTTCATCTTACCCCAGTCAGAATGACTAAGATCAAGAAACAATTGGCAACTAATGATGGCAAGGATGTGGAGAAAGGGGAACCCTCACTCACTGCTGGTAGGATTGCAAACTGGTGCCACCACTAGGGAAATCAGTGTGGAGAATTCTCAATAAACTAAAAATGGATCTACCATATGACCTTGCTATACCACTCATTGGCATATACCCAAAGGACTTGATTTCCTACTACAGAGATACTTGTGTTCAGCCATGTTTATTACTTCTCTTTCATAATAGCTAGGACATGGAAATAACCTAAATGTCTTTCAGTTCATGATGGATAATGAAAATATGGTACATTTATTCAATGGAGTTCTACTCAGCTACAAAGAAAAATGAAATCATGTAATCTACAGGCAAATGGATGGAACTGGAAACTGCTATACTGAGTGAGATAACCCAGATTAAGAAAAGCAAGTGGCACATGCTCTCTCATTTGTGGATCCTAGCTCCAAATCTTTAGATGTGAGTGTGTATGTATTGTTCTTCTAGAGGACTCAAGTTTTGATTCCCAGCCCTGGTGATATAGTCCCCTTTGTTTTTGTTTTTGTCTTTGCAATTTACTTTCAAATTTCTTTTGGAAACACAGTTGTAACACATGCCCAGTCATCAAATAAGGACTATTTGTGATTCACCTACCATGTCTCCCAGGTGGTTCATGCCTAGATCATATGAATGCATTCCCATGGAATGTTCTAGATTGTGAAGCATCACAAACTTTAGATTCCTTTCCCAGATGAGACGCCGCGCTCCTTCTTCATTCTGAAATATAAGAAAAATGACATAGACACTCTACAACTTGGCAAGTGTTCAACAATAAAAATAGCATTTAAAAATATTTTGTTATTATTTTTTATGTGTCTGAGTGTATTGCCTGCATGCATATGAGTGTACCCATGTCGTGCAAAGCCTGTGGAGGTCAGAAGAAGGTGTTGGATCCCCTGGAACTGGAGTTAGGAATGGTTGTTAGCCACCATGTGAGTGCTGGGATTTGAACCTGGGTCTTCTGCAAGAGCAGTGTTCCTAACCGCCATCTCTCCAGCCCGAAAATAGCATTCTTAAAGATTTTTTTTTTATTATTTGTTAATCATGTGTCCATGTGTGTCTGTGTGTGTTTATGTGAATTTAAGTACAGGTGTCTGTGGAGAACAGAAGAGGATGTCAGAGCTCCTGGAGCTGGGGTTACAGGTAGTTGTGTTGTGATCTGCCTGATATGGGAGCTGGAAACCAAACTCGGGTCCTCTGCAAGAGTAGTAAATGCTGAGCCATCTCTCCAGCCTGGGAAATGGCATTTTACAAAGCTTTCTTCTAAATGTGGATCTGTTTGGGAGCATATGAATAAATGAATGCATCCAATATGACTGCTAAATTCACATATTATCAAGTCTTGCTCTTCATTTTAAAATGTTTATTAATATTATGGTATATATATGTATATGTATAGTGAACTTCCTTCTTTTTATTGCTTGTAAATTTCTTTCTAAATATGCAAAAGTTCACTTTTGAAACTTTGTTTGATGTACATCCTTAACACTGATAAGCTCAATGTTTTAATTGATCTTTCCAAGATCTTGTCTCCTTTTCTTTTTTGTTTTTGAGACACGGTTTTGTCATGTCGCCCTGGCTGTCCTAGTGATTACACTGTAGCTCAGGCTGGCTTCAAACTTATAACAATCCCCCTGGCTTTATAGGTCTTAATAAAAAATTTATTCTCAGTCTTGAAAACAGTTTGGCCAACCATCAATTTGGTTTTTTTTTTTTCAGCAACTTGAAGTTTTTTTCATTGTCTCCCACTATTTATCATTGCAGATGAGAAGTCTGTTAGCAATCTAATTATTGTACCTCTGGTTTTTGTTTTGTTTCATTTTATTATTTTATTATTTTATTTTATGTGTATGAGTGTATTGCCTGCATGTATGTGAGTGCACCCATGTTGTGCAATGCTGTGGAGGTCAGAAGAGGGCATCAGATTCCCCTGGAACTGGAGTTAAGGACGATTCGTAGCTACCATGCGGGTGCTGGGAATCGAACCCAGGTCCCCTGCAAGAGCAGTCAGTGCTCTTAACCGCTGAGCCATCTTAAGACAGGATCTCATGTAGCTCAAGCTGACCTTGAACTTTGGATCGTTCTGCTTCCCATTCTTGAGTCCTTGTGTGACAGGCTGTGCCACCAGACCCCGTGTGTTTGTTTTGTGTCCTGTTGTTAATGAAGCCCACATTGACCTCAAGCTTGCTGTGTAGCTCAGGTTGGCTACCCTCACCATCCTCCTGTCTCCACCTACTGAGTTACATGTGTGTGCCACCACACCTGGCTCTTGCACCTCTGTTTTTAAATTGGTAGCTTTTGTGATTTTTCTCTTTTTAAAGTTCTATAGTTTTGTTACTTGTGGATGTGGGTTCTGAAATTTTTTCCTTCAGCTAGAAACTCTTGCTTTGATGACTCAGGAACTTTTTTTTTTCTGTCTAGAAACTCTCAATCAGCATCTTTTCATTTATCACCTCTCCACTGTCCCATCAAATTCTCATCTCTAGAAACACCTATCAGATGTATTTCAGAGACTCAAACTCTCATGTCTTTTGCTTTTGTTTTCAAAGATTTTTAAAACATTATTCATTCTATTTTTGGGTGCTGCTTTCTCTGAATTTTCAGTGCTATTTTCCAGATTATTGACTCAATGACTGTTTGGGTTTGTTTTTGAGGAGTTCTAATTATTTTATAATTCACTGTTCATTAATATGGCCTTTTCCTTCATGTATTTTTTTTTTTTTTGGTTTTAGGTTAGACCAGGCTCATGCAGCTGGGGCTGGCCTCAGACTTGCTCTTTCAACCTGCATTACAGGTATGTGCTACCAGGCCTAGTTGAAAGAAGTCATTTGGGTTCTATTTAAATTTTAACCATAATTAATTACTGTGTTGACAGTTGATTTTTTCCTATCCTCCAGAAAACATATTTACACAGAGTATAATGTATACAATGTATACAGTACCTCCTACAATAGCCAAAACCCTTGAGCTCCAATAAGCCAGAGGCAGCTATGGCACTGTGAGCAATCAGCAGCACCTCTCTGTCTTCATTTCACTGAGTGAGTGAGCCCAGATAACAACCTGGCTTCAGGTAGAGAGTCTGGGTAAGCTCCCCTTTTGGTGCAAGTTTTACAATAATCCTAGTGATAGACATAACAGGCATGCATAATGGAAACATCTTCAACTCTAGAGGAAAAAAGTAGAATAGGAAAAATAAATCTAAAAACTTACAGGAAGGGAAAAAAGAACAGTCACGTTGGTTGGATGGGACGATGGCTCTGTCAGTAAAGTGTTTGGTGCTCAAGCATCAGGACCTGAGTTTATGTCCACAGCACCCATGTATAAAGCTGGGTACAGTGGCACATGCCTGCAATCCCAGCACTCAGGAGGTGGAAATAGAAGGGTCCCTGAGGGGCTGGCCAGACAGTCCAGCTCCAGGTTCAGTAAGAGACTCTGCTTCAAAAAATAAGGTGGAGAGGTTGGAGAGATGTCTCATAGTGAAGAACACTGTCTGTGACAGCAGAGGATCCAGGTTAGGGTCACAGGATCCTCATGGCAGCTAATAACCTTCAGTAATTCCAGTTCCAGGGGACCCGATGTTCCCTTTTTTGGCCTCTGCCAACATTACATGACACAGGTGCACTCAGATACATGAAAGCAAAACACTCATACACATTGAAAAAAAAACAAGGTGGAAAGCTGCTGGGTGTGGTATACACCTTTAACCCCAGCACTCTGGAGGAAGAGATAAGCAGAGCTCTGAGTTTGAGGTCAGCCTGGTCTACATAAGTGAGTCCCAGGTCTCCCAGAGCTGAGCCCTATCAAAAAAAAAAAAAAAGGTGGAGACCAATTGAGGAAGACATCAATGTCTACCTCTGGCTTCCATCCACACACATATATGCACATAGACACACATACAGCAACATGCTCACATACAACAAGAAACACAAAAATGTCCTATTTATAGCTTCTGAGGGCTTGGGCTTATTAAAAACAGGAATAGCATTCACGTAGCCAGATGAAGGTGCTGGTATACTTCTAACTAGTTAACCTTTAAATTAGGGATCAGGTCCTAAATAGGAGTGAGTAAGGGTAAAATTCATCATCACTATTAAAACCATGTAATCATCTCAATAGATATGGAAAAACCATTTGACAAAACTCAATATCCTTTTATGGTAAAGTTCTCAACAAATAGCAAGAATGGTCCTCAACACAACTGCAGTAGCCAAAGGAACTCCACCTTCTCCTGGGCCAGTCCTGACTCCAGTTTGTGCCTGCTTTGGCATTTCTCCCAATCATCAGCATTCCCTAGGCAGCTGCAAAACATCCAGGGTTTTTCCCTGGCCCTGGCCTATAGCACAGACGAATAGCAAAAACAAACAAACAAACAAACAAACAAACAAAACAAAAAAACTCCAGGATATATAATAAAAACAATTTCTATGTATAACCGAAATAACTGCTGTAGCAAGGTCTTTATGACCCCTATCTGGTCCAAACTGTTATTAGGACTTTTGCGGTTTTTGGCTTTTATAAACTCTTTGGCACTGAGAAATTTTTCTGAGGCACTAGCCACTCTCAGTCACTTGCTAATCAGTAAAGGACTCCTTTCCTTTTTAACTGGCTTAAGTGTGGTGGTGGTCTATAATTCTCTCACATGGGTATAACACAAGAAAGAAGGTCATTCATGACAGGCCCACAGGTAACACTAATCTCAACCATGAGAAGTGAGGGCCACTCCTCTAGAACTGGTAAAAGAAAAGAATATCACTCTCATCAATTCTATCCATAATAGTGATAGAAGTCTTAGCTAGAGCAATTAGGCAAGAGAAAGAAATAAAAGGCATCCAAACAGGAAATTAAAAATGAAATCTGTATGGTGATTACACGGTCTTATATGTAGAAAACTCTGAAGACTTCACACACACACACACACACACACACACACACACACACGCACTGTTAAACTGATAAAACAGATTCAGAAGTTTCAGGATACAAAAACCAACCTACAAAACCACAAAAATCAGTAACATTTTATATATTTAAATAACAAAGTATTTGAAAAAGAGATTTAAAAAAAATCCCATTTATAATTATATTTTTAAAATACTAAAGGTGGGGCTGGAGAGATGGCTCAGAGGTTAAGAGCAATGACTGCTCTTGCAGAGGACCTGGGTTCAATTCCCAGCACCCACATGGCAGCTATGAACAGTCCTTAACTCCAGTTCCAGGGGAATCCAAAGCCCTCTTCTGACCTCCTCAGCATTGCACGACATGGGTGCACTCACATACATGCAGGCAATACACTCATACACATAAAATAAAAATAATAAATAAAATAATAATAAAATTTTAAAAATATTAAAAGTACTGGGGAGATGGCTCAGTGGTTAAAGTGCTTTCTATGCAGGCATGAGGACTTGAGTTCAGATCTCCAGTACCCATGTAAATGCTGAGTGGGTAGCCTGCCTGTAATTTCAGCACTCTGAGGCAGAGATGGGGATCCCTGGAGCAATCTCCTTTGCTAGACTAGCAATATTAGTGAGCTCTGGATTCGATTGAGAAACTCTGATTTGGTGAATAAGCTGGTGAGTGATTGTCTCAATGTCAGCCTTGGGCCTCTACACACATATGCACACACATGCATGCACACTGTAAATGGGAATAACTTTCCTGGGAATCACAAATTGAACTTTTAAGCAAGTTAATCATATGCTTTATGATTTAAACTA